GGACCGACGAGTGAAAACTTTGGCCACATGTGTTGAACATATTATTGTTGTTGCTATATTTTATATTCCTCTCCTTGTTATTTTCAGCATTGGGTTTTTTTCAAGGGTAGTGGACCCAGAGAAGAGAGTTCTGAGTCTGTCGCTGGCATCTTGCATGGCTCCTTGCATTAATCCTGTTGTTTATTCTCTGAAAACCAAAGAGATCAAAATCAGGACACTTGCTTTGTTTAGAAAAACCAAAGTTAACTCAAAAGCATAATTAAACTCCAATCCTTTTTTACATTATGACTAAGTAATAACCTAGGAGCTCTGGTTAAAATGAACAAGGATGTGCAAATAGTAACTGCTGGCAAGATAAATATACATTTCTGTGAAATTTGGTCAACTCTGTGGTTTGAATATCAGCACAATTTTGTATCAATGTGTCTTGTGAACTTATTAAGGAAAACATTTTGATTAATGCAATTCAATCTCCATTTTTATGTTTTATAAATAGCACCTGCTTTTCCTTTTAGCCAAACAAGTGTACCACTAGTTAGAATTAATAAATAAAGTATGATCCATGTTTCAATGTATAATTTTGTCTTGTGAATACTTTATGGCAGATAAAAACTACACAAGGTGTTCCACCTACTCTTGTTTGCTATTGTGAAATTTTATTTAGATATGTCTGCATAACTCATTTTGTTTATTTATGTGAATATTTTGTTGGATTATTTGAACAATGTGTTCAGTCTACTGGTTTATATTTCTGCAGAATGGAACGGAAAGAGAACGGCAAAATGTTCAAAGCCTGACCTCTAGTGGTTTAATGGATACATTACAGATTTGGAAACGTCTTAAACTGACAATGTCACTAAACGGGTCGGTTGTATTGTTACATTTACTTGAGTAACTTTTTTGAAAATAAAAGAAAGAAAGAAAAAGTTCTTCCTTGAGAAGTTTTCCTGCTCCACATTTTTTAAGCCTTTGCTTGAGTGATATTATTTTAAAGTAACACTTTTCGTACTTGAGTACAATTTCTGGCTAGCCACCTCCAGTTATTTTTCTGAATGAAGAACAGACATTTTTTAACAGTTTATGTAAAAGTGAGAATTATTTATGTATTCATTGTTTTAATGTAGTTTTCTATCTGCTGAGTAAACGCTACCAATCGGAGGTCTAGTTAATACTTAGGATGTTTATAATAGTGGCACTTTGCGCTCTAACACATAAACGATCTACTGCTATTGGCTTTAAAAGTTTAATAGTGATGCATTTGTGAATTTACTGTTTTAATTTATTTTGTATCTGAACAAAATTATTTGTATTTGCAGAGAAAACCTGTCACATTTAATATCTTTATCTTCTCATATAGAAATGAAGATTTGACTAGTGATGTGACCAACTCTTTTTTGGTATGTTAAACTTTTCTTTTTGTTATTTAATGCTTTTTAACACTATGTTAAACAGCATGAAACCAGGATAAACCAGAGGGGGAAAATACTTCAAGATTCAAATTTCCATATCATATAATATTTCATATGTTTAAACCACTAAATGACTATTAGTGACGTGAATTTTTCTTTTAAGTGCAGTACTTAGTCTGGAACACTAGATGTCCTCAGTTACTAGTTTTGTTCTCATGTATTTGCGCCACCTAGCTTCCTGCAATCAATTTCGTTAAGTAAACTCTCTGCTTTTATGCCAATATTAATGTTTTTTTTTCTTATTGTGATGATGTGGGAGCGGTGTTTTCCAATGGCATCATGTCTCTCAACACCCACCCATGAAACTAGAGGCTGATACAAAATAGTGTGACAGGGTCTGATGTTGGGAGAAAAGCCAGTTTAAACCAGTTGTTTCATGTAGGTGTGGAGAGTTCTCATTGTGTCTAATGATCATGACATGGGTACCGTAATGGTTTATAATATGAGGTGGCTGAAAGCTCGTTACTCTTACACGGATGTTAAACACTACTGAAAACATAATTATTATTGTATTGTACAAACAGAGCACAATTTAATTAAACCCAGGGAAGTTATTAGTATTTCTGGCATTATGAGATACTACTTTAAATGAATGTTCAGAATCAATTCAGTTTCATAATCTAAAAATCCATTTCAAGGATGAATTCCTCACCTCTGTAGGAAGCTATTTCTACTCTATTGGTTAATGGTCTGTATTTGTTTAGCACTTTATTTAGTGCAGAGGACTCCAAAGTGTTTACACTGCATTCAGTCATTCATACACACTGATGGTGGTGGTAAGCTACACTGTAGCCACAGCTGCTCTGTGGAAGACTGGCAAAAGCGAGGCAGCCACCAATCAGTACTCAGAATATTAAACACTTCAGTTAAAATGGTAACAATAATGAGCATTAATCACTAACAAAATAAAGTGTGAAATGTAGTATTGTTTAAAAAAAGTAGACCGCATAAAATATTCATTTTTTCTTACCAGAATATCTTCATATTTCATTTTATAATGTCTTCTAAAAAAGCTTAAAGCTAACTCAACTTTACTTATGTGAAGTGTGATTTCTGCACATGAAAATGGGATGCTCTTTAACTTAAAAAGACAAGCAAAGTTTATGATGAGAATGTGCAACTTTATTTTTTCATAATTCAGCCTTGAACACTAGATGTCCGCAGTTACATGTTTCTATCACCATTCTGCATTTTACCTACATGCTTTCTGCAATGAACCTTTCCACACTGACTCGTCTCAGTATAATCTGGTACATTCTGGACAGATCAACGAAGGACAACATTCACAAACAACCAACTATAAATACATCTACGGTATCTAAGGTATATCTAAAGTCATCACTATGCTATATAAAAACACCACTGCATGTAAAATGTCTTGTATTTAAAAAAAAAACATGTATCTGAAATAAATCATATTAACAAAAACACATGTGCATCCCTAAGATAACTTTTTTACACATACAACCATATTATCAGCATTAAAATATCAACACAGCAAAACAACATGATGTAATATTAATTTTTTAAAGTCATGCCTTAAAGCACTAAGAAGTCCGAGTTTGCAATTGTGAGACGAGTCTGTTTATTTTTCTTCTTTTGTAAACCCTCTTAAAAGCACTTATCACTTCTTCTGTCTTTAAAGCATATATGATCGGATTTAGCAGAGAGGGAACTGTGTGGGATAAACTAGAATTTAATATCCTCATATTAGGGTCAATGCTGTTAGTTTTCACTGTTATATTTGTGCCCAGATATGGTATAAAGAAAAGGGCCACGAGCATCAGATGAGAAGTACAAGTTCTCATTGCTTTAAGTCGTTCTTCTCTGGATGCAGTTCTGCTTAGTGCTACAGAAATGCAGATGTAGGTGGCTCCGATCAGTACGAGAGGAATACAAATGACTACAGCAAAAGTGAAATTAGCCACTATGTAGTTTATGTATATATTATTACATGCCAAACTATATGTTGGTCCATGATCACAGAAAAAACTTTGTATTACCACAGATGCACAAAAGGACAGGCGCTCAAGAAGTCCGACCAAGGCTCCAATGACCAGGACCAGAGATGTCCATGAACACAGCAGAATTGTAACTATTGATTTCCTTGTTACAATAATGTTATATCTCAATGGAAAGCAAATTGCTACAAATCTGTCATAGGCCATTATGACTAGAGTCCATGACTGCATACTTCCAAAGAATAAAACAAAGAACATGTAAGTTAAGCAGGCCTCATAAACAATGTACCGCCTGTTAAACAAAAACGTGTCCAAGAGCTTTGGGATGAGCGCAGTGCTCCCACACAAATCTGTCAGAGCCAGGTTGAACACTATTATGTATCTGGGAGTGTGGAGAGACTTCACCAGGTAAATAACAGAGAGGAGGAAACCATTGCTAAGCACAGTCATGATGTACACAAAGCACAAGAAGACATAGTAATACTTAACATGAGGGATGTTGTAAAACCCACCGAGATAAAAATGTAGAGGACGAACAAATGTGGAGTTAAACGTCACAGTATTTTCACCCTCTCTGTTCATATTTATAACAGGATAAAGACAACTCACAAAAAACTAAAGTGACAGAGATTGTTGAAAGCACTTCTAGTTTTCTTAACACAGTGGAGAATCAGAAGTGTGTGCAGCTCTCTGAGCTGTTCCATGCTATTTTTTCACCTATATAGTTCATCATTACCTCAAGCTCTCAGGTGTCGCTCAATGAACCTCAGTCATTAAGAACATGACGCAATGCAACATTTCTGTTACCAGAGCATAAAATTATATCTACAAAAAAGGAGCATTTACTTAACATCTCGGAAATTACATCTATTATTAGTATTATTTTTGTTGTATCATGTTTTCATCTGTGTCCATAAATTAAATAATGGAAAAAAAAATTAAAAGGTAGAGAAATAAATGTAACTTTCTTCAAACCATATTCTCATGAATTCTCCATAACTTTTGACTCTAGATTTAAAAGATGATCTACAACCCAGGTATATAAAATGTTGGAGATAGATGGCCAACAATTCTAAATATGTTAAAAAACTGTATAATTAAACTGCACATAGATAATTTCCAGGAGGCAACAATTCATACCTGTTATGTCACAAGTAGGCTTCAAGCCTGTGGGTGATTTACATCTGATACAAGATCAAATAAATGTTCATTGAGTTGTGAACAATATACAAATAATTTAAAGGTTTTCTTGTCCTTTCTTGACGTTATAGCAAACACAGACCCAGGAAGACAAGTAGGCATCCAACTATAGGAAAAAAAAAAATCATTTTCATCTCAACAATAAGGATTTATTTAAAAAATTGCTCCTAGCTTTTTAAATAACGCCAAGTTATTTCAATGTTTTAGCATTGAAGTGAATTAGTTGTAGCTTCCTGATGTCTTGACCACTTGTAGTCCTGGCAGTTCTTCGCAAAACGCATTTTGCAATAATGATAAATTAATGAGAAATTATGCAGTCTTCATATGGTTCGATAAAAATGCGTTGCCTTTTGTGGTTTAACCTTCTTCAGGTTTTGTACTGATCACTTTAGTGTTTGGGGGTATTTTACACTTACTGAGTATTTGTCATGATTTGTGGTTGATTGGGGTGAGAAAGAACACTGAGACCCAGGTTGAAGAAGACAAAGATGAAGGTTTAATGTAGAAACAGTCCAGATGCAAGCAGCTCGGGGGAACAGACAGACGACAATAGGGAGACTAACACTTGACGAGGATCCGACAAGAGACAAAGACAACAGGTGGACTTAAATACACAGGGAGGGTAATCAGGGAATGAGACACACCTGGGAAGCAATCAGCGGGGAAGACAGGAAAGGGACAGGGCTAAACACAGAAAACCTCAAAAATAACTTCACAGAAAACACAGAACACAACAGCTCATTGGCAGTTGGAGACAAATGTTAAGACGACACTGCTAATGCGTGTAATGGTGCAGATCATGTAGAATGTCAACTGGTGGATTCATTGACCTCAAAACACATAAGTTGCAATTTGAACCTTTTCAAGTTGGGAGGAAGTAACTGAAATGTATATGGGATCTGATCAAAACTTGGATTGAAACTTGACCAGTTTCAGTTTCTCAAAACTTTTACTGCTTGTACTTACATTTTCAGTTTGAAAGCAGGGCTTCGTGTCTTTTCCCTCAAAACTTGTTAACGCTTGTGCTCAATTCTTCTGCTCTCTTTCAAATATTCACTGTGGTTTCTCAAACCTTTCTCCTGGCGCTCAAAACTTCTCTCTGCTCAGATCAAATCTCCACTTGCAAACCTCTCTGCTCGCTTGCGAATCATTATCTGCACAGGCTTGGAACAAAAAAGTGCCGTTGCCTGGCAACCTCTCAGCCAATAGAATGAAAGTGTTATACTGGGTGCGTTTGTTTCCTTCTAGTGGGTGTGCCTCTGTGGCTATTATGATTGTAGCCACCTGTGTCCCCCACTGAAAATATGTGCTCTTGAATTATGGTAGAAAAATTCCCCCATAAACCAACCTCAGACGCTTAATCACCCAATATAAAATATTAAAATACTACGGAAAACAATTGCTGATCAATAATTATATAAACAATTTCTGTACCGCATGTTAAAAAAGATTTACCATTGGTTGCTGAGAAAAAAAAAAGTTTTTTGGCATTTTTTATTGACTTTTATTTTATTTTTTTATCAGGAACAAATGTCTTAATTGAATGAAGAAAAATCCATATCTGTATGGGATTTAATTTATTGTAGATTTAGCTGAGGTAAAATGCAAAAAAAAAGTGTTATTCAATTGGCTGTGATTACTTTTTACAGAAAAAAAACTTTCTGCTAAATGTTTTTCTAAAGTAAAGGACTTAGTATTTGCAGTTATTTGACTAATTAACTACATTGTATTGGTTGGTTGGTTTCTAAAGCATATTGTGTTAAATGTTACTTGCATAAGTTACTCTGTAACCAGGTTTTGTCTTTATTTTGTCTGGGTGCATAACCATATTTTCCCTGCACAAAATATATCACCATATGCAAGACCCAAATAACTTCTCTCATAATTCAATCACATAAACATGTTTATTAATTTATCAACACTATTTTTAAGATGACTAATTCCAAAAAAATTCAGATACAGAATAATCACAACACATCTACAGCCCTGACTTGCAATCAGTTACCACCAGTAGTCTATAATCACTGAGCAAAAATTCAGCTTATTAAAGGTTAGTTACAAACAACTGATATTTAAAGTAATCATTTTGCATTGATTTTCCTCATTTTGCCTCTTCTGCAAAGTTTCCTAATGGCATTCCTCACTTCTTCTGTCTTCAAAGAGTAGATAATAGGATTGAGCAGAGGGGGAACTGTGAGTGTCAAACTTGAGTTTATCATTCTTGCATTTGGATGAATGTAGGAAGTCAGTACAGTTATTGTGGTGCCCATAAATGGAAGAAAAAAAATGGCAACAAGAATCAGGTGAGAAGTACATGTTTCTAAAGCTCTGAGTCTTTCCTCTCTTGAAATAGTCCTGGACAAAGCGATGGAAATGCAAACATAAGAGCCAACTATCAGAATGAGGGGAATGCACATCACCACGATAAGGCCAGCAATAGCCAATATGTGACTGTAAGATTTATCGTTACAGGCCAGCTGATATATTGGTCCATGATCACAGAAGAAGCTTTTAATCTCTGTAGACGAACAGAACGAGAGGCGATCAATAAAACCAGCCAAAGTTGCCATGAAACCAACCAAAAACATCCAAGAACACAGCAGGATTACAGCAACAGATTTTGTAGTTACAATGCTGTGATACCTTAAAGGGAAGCAAATTGCTATTACTCTGTCATATGCCATTGTGACAAGCGTCCATGCCTGTATACCTCCGAATAACAAAACAAAGAACATGTAAGCTAAGCAGGCTTCATAAACAATGTATCTCCTGTTAAATAAAAATGAGTCCAAGAGTTTTGGGATGAGAGCAGTGCTCCCACATAGATCTGTGAAAGCCAAGTTGAAAACTATTATATATTTAGGACTATGTAGAGTCTTCACCATGTAGATAACAGATAGGAGGAAACCATTGCCAAGGACGGCCATGATGTACACAAAGCACAAGAAGACATAGTAATACTTAACATGAGGGATGTTATAAAACCCACCAAGATAAAACTTTGCAGGTCGAACAAATGAGGAGTTAAACATGGAGGTAAGCAGACTCTCTCTGTACATCACTATTGCACATTTACCAAGATTAAAAAATATAATCAGGAATGACAGAGTAGCTGGAAAGAAGTTGCTGTCACCCAGCACACCAGAGGATAGCATGAGTGTGCTGCCCTCTGGTCTGTTGCAGGTTTACTGTTCCTTTTATATGTTTTCTCCTGTGATTATCATACATCAGTGTGACTCACTGGTTGGTTTCTGTCACTCACAAAAAGCTCCTTACTGTTACAAAAGTACTGAAGATCATCTGCAAAAATAACTCTCATATTGGACAAATAAGACATAATTACCCATAATTCTGGAAAGAAAACACATGCATGTGTTTGACATCAAGTTGTTGCATCTGCATCCTTCACACTAAAGTCATTGAAAGAAGGTTTTAAAAAATAGAAAAGTGATAAGGATGAAAAGTTAAATTAACTTTCTTCAAGCTCTCTCTAGAATCCACAGTGAGGTATACTTTCTTTTCTTTTCTTTATTTAACCAGATAAAACCCTGTTGAGAACCAGATGTCATTTGTAAGGAGGTCCTGGGTAAAAATCAACAACATAGCTCAATATTTTTTTAGGAGACGATGATTTTCCAGTAGCTTTAGTTGAGAATCTTTAGGCAAGCTGCATTTAGGCAATATCTCAATCTCTGGTTCTTTATATTTCGTTTATTTTGGGTTGTTCAAACATTTCTGTTGCTTATCCTTTTTGGTTATTGTGCTCTGGACTATGCATAGAGATTTAGATTATGATAATGTATGATAAAATGGTGTGAATGTCATAAGGAAAACTTCCAATATGCAAATTTGGTAAATGTCACGATAGGAACAGCATTATGAGCAGCAGTACAGAGGCTTAAATTCATTTTTGAGGCTTTTCTGTGTTTGCCAATTAATCGCCTCTCGTTCTGTTCGTCTATAGAGGATTAAAAGCTTCTTCTGTGATCATGGACCAATATATCAGCTGGCCTGTAACGATAAATCTTACAGTTACATATTGACTGCTATTGCCCGTATTGTGGTGATGTGCATTCCCCTCATTCTGATAGTTGGCTCTTATGTTTGCATTTCCATCGCTTTGTCCAGGACTATTTCAAGAGAGGAAAGACTCAGAGCTTTAGAAACATGTACTTCTCACCTGAATCGTGTTGCCATATTTTTTCTTGCATTTGTAGGCACCAATGTGGTTATGATGATGACAGTTGCCCATATGTGTTGTTGTACCAGTACTCCAAAAGACATTTTCTCCAACCTCGATCCAACCATCGCTTTGGATATTGGTGCGATCAATGAAGTCAAAAGCTGCTTCTGTAGAATCAAGATGGCGACAGACGGCTCGGATCTAGGAGGTGGGATCCGTCTATTGTTACTGCATATAGAGATACTGACCCAACAATGAATTTCTAATGCATTGTTTAACCCTAGTTTAGATTCGTAGGCCATGTTTACACAAACACCATCTGTAAACTGTAGAAGTTCATTGAGGAAAAAAAAGTTCCTCTTTTGCAAAGATACCTTTAATTTGCTGTACACTGAAAAACAAAAATTATGTCCCTAATTTACAGTACACTACCGGAAGCTGTGTTTACCATAAAAAACGTAATTATACAGTAAAATTTGTGGTTGCAGGAATTTTACCGTGTTTATAAAGCTGCCTGTATCTTATCGTAAGTTAGAGATGGTTTTTTTTTTTTTTACAGTGTAGTTGTTGTTCCACATAAATTACTTGCCTATCGATTGGTGTGAATTCAGTTAAACAGCTTTGAGTGTAAAGTATGATTAGAAAAGTCTTATATAAATTCAGTCACTTACCAATTACTCAAGATAATAACACATTCAAAGACATCATATAAAAATTAAGTACCAAACAGAAGGTTGTTTTGTTTATCATTTATAAAACATCAATAAATTACAGAGATAGCATCATATAGAATTATGAAAGATTAACTACAGACAATAAGTAATGTCACAGTCATAATTTAATGGCTGTTTTGTTCATTTTGAATCTTCTGCAAAGTTTCCTAATGGCATTCCTCACTTCTTCTGTCTTCAAAGAGTAGATAATAGGATTGAGCAGAGGGGGAACTGTGAGTGTCAAACTTGAATTTATGATTCTTGCATTTGGATGAATGTAGGAAGTCAGTACAGCTACATTGGTGCCCAGAAATGGAAGAAAAAAAATGGCAACAAGAATCAGGTGAGAAGTACATGTTTCTAAAGCTCTGAGTCTTTCCTCTCTTGAAATAGTCCTGGACAAAGTGATGGAAATGCAAACATAAGAGCCAACTATCAGAATGAGGGGAATGCACATCACCACGATAAGGGCAATAGCAGCCAATATGTAACTGTAAGATTTATCGTTACAGGCCAGCTGATATATTGGTCCATGATCACAGAAGAAGCTTTTAATCTCTGTAGACGAACAGAACGAGAGGCGATCAATAAAACCAGCCAAAGTTGCCATGAAACCAACCAAAAACATCCAAGAACACAGCAGGATTACAGCAACAGATTTTGTAGTTACAATGCTGTGATACCTTAAAGGGAAGCAAATTGCTATTACTCTGTCATATGCCATTGTGACAAGCGTCCATGCCTGTATACCTCCGAATAACAAAACAAAGAACATGTAAGCTAAGCAGGCTTCATAAACAATGTATCTCCTGTTAAATAAAAATGAGTCCAAGAGTTTTGGGATGAGAGCAGTGCTCCCACATAGATCTGTGAAAGCCAAGTTGAAAACTATTATATATTTAGGACTATGTAGAGTCTTCACCATGTAGATAACAGAGAGGAGGAAACCATTGCCAAGGACAGCCATGATGTACACAAAGCACAAGAAGACATAGTAATACTTAACATGAGGGATGTTGTAAAACCCACCAAGATAAAACTTTGCAGGTCGAACAAATGAGGAGTTAAACATGGAGGTAAGCAGACTCTCTCTGTACATTATCAATTCTTTCAAAATTGACAAGATATGAAAAGATGAAATCACAAAACAGACAACATGATAAAGACTGTCACAGGTGCATCACACAAGTTGTTGAAACCTAATTCACACCTCAGGACGGCAGCTGTTCATGCTCTCTGTGAACTGCACTGCGGAGGAAACTTCATTTATACATCCCTCCTCCTTTCATTCACATGCTGTCTAATAGTTTATGCAGTGATGACATCAAGCAACAAAAACTGTTTATCACTTCTGCCATAATACTGAATCATAAGTGGCTCAACAAAATGTTTAAAAAAATAATTAAATTAAATTCAGTTTATTTATATAATGCCATAAATGTAGTCTAGAGGAACTTTTTCACAAAGGGTTATTTTTTCTCAGTCACAGAATAAAAAGTCAGACAGATGGAGCTAAAAATCCTACACTATTAACCAGACAATAATTTAATTTCCATCTAAATTCTGAGGTTGACTCAAACTGCAGTTTCTCTTCTCTCTACAGGTGAGTTTACCTAGAAAGATTATGCTTCCTTGAGCAAAATTATATCTGACTTGGCTTTTCTATGTGTTTTAATGTTTGATTTTATAATGTAAAATGCAAACAATCTGGAAGAAATAGCAGAATCTACATTTCTTATCAACAAATCCAAGATGCATGGGAAACTTTTCCTAATTTCCAAGCTCAATGTTTAGTTGAGAACAAAACTCATTTTAATTTTGGGCCATATCAAGATCACGAATGTCCTCAAAGGCCCAGTTTTGGCAGGGTGTTTTGATACAACTACCCAATTACACACTGATAAAATATTAATAAATAACTTAAATTAGAACTTCTGAGGTCTAAGTCATTGGAAACCCCTGGGCCTCAAACTCTTTCTCGCCTAGAATCCCACTTTATGCTCTTGCTCAAAATCTCCCTTTGGACATAAGACAGAAATGTTACTCTCTGAAGTAAACTAATAAGCCTGCATGTTTTTGAACAACACAGGAACTTGAAGAGAAGCCGTGCAAAAAGCCAGCATTCAAACCCAGAACCTTCTCTGTGACGTTACCATGACAACGAGAGCCACCATGAAGCCCACATTAAAACAACCCAATTTATCAACGGGAGCCATGTTTGTTGTTGGAAATAAAAGTCAATCAGAACGTAACAAGAAATGCTTATGTCTTTATTGTTTACACACGTAAATTCTGCACAGGCTGCCTCGTGTAGAAAAACACACAATAATACAAGTCATCTGACTCGTAACACAGCAATCCACATTTGATTAAATTGTAAGTTTGCTATTCTACTGAATCTCTTTATGAGATAAGTAGGTCACCAGTTTAGAGGAATCATGTCTTTTCCAACATTTATAGTTTTCTTGATCATTTCTAAAAAGGATAAAATGAAGTAGGTCAGTAGAAAAACATGACATAATTGTTTAAACTAAAAACTACCGTAGTTCAAAATGGCAATTTTAAGCAAACTTATGAAGAAACATGTTTAGACAAATAAGAGTACTATGCTTTTTGTTACAGTGAAGTCACATTGTTGTGGAATGTTTACTTCTTATTTTTGATTTAAAAAATATTCTAAATAATTTTTTCATTGACACTTTGATTTCATGCGTCTGTAGAACATAAATGATTGGGTTCAACATTGGTGGCAGCACAGAGGTCAAAGACAAGTTTATTATCCTGTTGTTTGGGTGTATTTTTTCCATCAATGTAAATGTGATTAGCAGCGGGGTAAAGTAGATAACCACTAACGAAAGATGAGCGATACAGGTCTTAAAGGCTTTGATTCCTTGTTGAAATGTTGCCACTTTTACTAAAGTATAACTAATATAGAGGTAACTTAAAAGGATAAAAACTAGCGGCAGCCAAAAAATAAGAATAGGATAAAAAAATCCAATCACATCATTTGGAAAATTGTCATTGCAAGCAAGGCGGTAGATCTGACCGTGATCGCAGAAGTAGCTGTTAATAACCAAAGACTTACAGAATGAAAGTCTTGTGAGGAGGCCGACAGCAATTAAGACAGCAACTACAGCAAAGATCCAGAAAGAGGCGATCAAAGTCAGCATAGATCTGCAGGTTACTTTTACTTGATAGTGAAGAGGAAATATGATGGCAACCAGTCGGTCGTAGGAGAGAGCAACCAGATTAAAAGACTGCATTGAAAGGCAAGTGTAGCAGAAAAAAAGGAACGTCAAGCAGTCATTGTAGGGGATTATGTTATGGTTAAACAGAAAGACGTCAATCACCTTTGGTACCAGAGCGGAGCTGCCTAACAGGTCCACAAATGCAAGGTTAAAAACGGCAACATACTTTGGCGTTCTTAGATTGTGATCTAAATATATTATAGCCATTACGGCTGTGTTTCCCACCACAGAAATTATATACAGAAAAAACAGAAAGATGTAGTAGGACTTCATGTTAGGTAAGCCAATAAATCCATTGATTACAAAATATGCAGGACGCACAAAAGTTATATTTTTTCCAAAAGCAGAGTTGAACAGTTCCATTGTAACACTCCCCCAATGTGCCAGGATCTACTAAACGTTCATTAAACTGTGAAGAATCTTCTTTGGACAGCAGGACTGCCTTGTGCAGAAGACGAGATGCTAAAGAGCCGTTATCCTGATCTCGTCTGGCAGATCTTTGTCTGTCAGGCTTTTAAATGACGAAGTGAAGACTTTGGAGAGGAGCAGCGATTCTCGTCTCTCTTTATTCAGATTGCCACTGTCTAATCCCATGTGTGTCCAAGACAAACCCAGTTCACTCAGCGTAACAATGAAAACCTCTGTGTGGTACGTACAATATTAGCCTTGAAAAACAAAAACAAGAGTAGTTCTCTGAGATGTGTTTACAGAGAGAGATTATACTTGCCTACATCTTGGTGTTTAACATAGGAAATACTCAGAAACATTATTGTATAAAACATGTACATACAGTGAAGGCAAGGCAAATATGAACATATGTTTCGCTAAGGCTTTACCAAACTCTGGTAAAGTGCCTTGATTCTCACATAAGATTGAGCTGAAATTTTTTTTTTATCCTGCAGGACATAATATTATAAAAGCTGTGGCTTTGCTGCAAGTCAAGAGTTTGACTACTGTTCCTGAACTTTACTTTGACTATCTATGGTTGTATCTGGATATCTATGAGGATCTACAGCCTTTCTATGTTTTGTTGTGTGATTTCCTTGTGTCTGTGCAAAACTCTTCACTAAACATTTTGTATAATTTTCTTGTCTCAGCCATATTTCTAACCTGTCACCAGGCCAGCTATTTTAGTTGTTTTTGGGGAATTACAGGAAAACGTTTGTTTAAATATTAAAATGTATTGCATGTATGAGGTTGTCATAAGACTATAAATTTAAATTAGGCCCTCATTCGTCTGTTTAATTGCCACCTAACTTAAGCTGAATAAAATTATTCAGACATAAAAAAAAATAATAATAATACTCAAATATGTGCAAGAAAACAGCTCCCATACTAAAATATCACATGTACTATCTGTCAATTAGGAAAAAAAAATGTCTTTAACTAAAATGTTTGTTCATACTGGAGCCATTGTTTCCACTGTAGCCTTGCAGCTAGAAGGTCTAATGTTTATTTCCTCGTTTTGGGAAACCATGTAAACTGAAAAACATGAACATTTCTATTATATAGTAAATTGATCTAAAAAATATTCCTAAAAAAAGCTTATTTATGGTTTAATTTCCGATTAGTTACATTTATTGCTTTAATACTCTCAGTTATTTATTTACGAGGATATTTTTTTTATTTCAAATTGATACATTACAATTTGTTTTCTCTAGTTTAACCTTCAAACTGCTTCATACTTTTGCAATTTTACGCAATATTTTTCTATATTTAAATACTGTACATCAGTCTCAAAAATATTTTTTTATTACTGTCTCTGTAGCCTTTATATTGTTTGACTTCCAGGTCATGTGTTTAAGAATAACAGCTTACAAAAATAAGCTCTCATTTTGTTTATCAAATAGTCCTTTATTATAAATATTTTGGCTTATTGAACATTTGGAAAATATGACCCTTTACATTAGATGTTTAGAACATAAATATTAACACATGTGAGTTACTTTAATACCATAGAAAAATTGGAAATTAAACTTCCCATTGAAGCAATTTTTATATTTTTTGAGGAAAAAATAAATTCATAGAGTACCAATTTAACAAGATGATTTAAATTTACAACTCAGATTTTTAACTTAAGCTTCAATTTTTTCATTCAGCCCCTTTCTATAATATAGTATGTCTATAATCCTCTCTGTCTCTTGTCTTATTCTGTTATTACTGGAAAATCCTGTCACTGCAACCAACTGTTAATGAAGAAAAGGCCGAATCACAAATACTGGAACATTTTTATTGCAGTCTTGTGGTTTTTCAGATAGTGTCTGCTTCAGCAGCTCTGATTGTTTTTTTTTGTTGTTTTTTTTACATATTCCTTACATATAGTCCTTGAATTTCAAAGGGGAGTATTGTGTAAAATCACACTGTTATTCACTCATCAAAAACATATGTGGAGTGTTGCTTTGATTCATTCATGTATGTTTGAGAAATCCTTTAATTTCCTGTGGCAGCCATCCAGGAGTGCCTAAGCTAGATTTGTTAGAGTTATCCAAAGTAAATCCAATTAGCAGTGCAATAAAACTGACTTCATGCATTGGGCTTCATAAGTTGTTAAGTCTTTTCTGAACTGCAGCTAGTGACACAATAAAACAACTGACACAACCTGACACAAAAAAAACCAATAAAGCATAATATAAAGTAGGTCAGCATTAGGTTTTCTAAATTCTCCTTGTTTTATGTATTTTTTTCACTCTATGCAATATTTAATCTACCATCACAGCATAATATATTAAGTCTTTGTTTTTAATATCAAGACACAAGTTTTTCTAGTTTGTTCTGCTTTGTTTTGTTTTCTTACACTGTTTACCTCATTTAAACCATCTTAATGTCATCATTTTATATTTATTTAAAAATCCCACTTTGCTCAGAAACAGGTTTTCAATCTGCACAATTTTAATTCTAGTGAAAATAATTAGGAATATCTAATCTTCCTAATTTTTTTAAATAAAATACTGGCATATCTGGTAAGAAATTAATACAATAATATACCTAGTACTATGACATAAACTTTTCTTTAACATAATAGAGCCATCTACACAACGTGTAACAGAAGATTTTAATGAATATTTTTATGATCATGACAGGAAGAAATACAAAATCAAAAACAACAAATGTTTGCATGTGAGCTGAACTACGTCCTACTTTCCAGTGATTCTGGATTTCCTTCTGATTTTCAATATTTTCTTCAGTGAAACTTTTATCTCTTGTGTCTGCAAAACATAAATGATTGGATTCAACATGGGTGGAAAAACAGAAGCAAGAGATAAGTTGATGATCCGGGCATTTGGATGTATTCTCGAACTCATTGTAAATGTGATTATTATCGGGAGGAAGTAGATTACCACCAACGACAGATGAGCTGTGCAGGTTTTAAAGGTTTTTGCTCGCTCATGAGCTGCGGTAACTTTAGCCAAAACACAACCAATGCAGATGTAACTCGACACAATGAATAAAAAAGGGAGCCACAGAAGAAGCACTGGTAATAAATTGCCAACGACTAAATTAGGAAAATAGTTATTGCAAGCAAGTCTATACAACTGGCCATGGTCACAGAAATAGCTGTTAATGACCAAAGACTTGCAGAAGGAAAGCCTTGTAAGAAGGCCAACTGCAAGTGAAACACAAGTTATTACAAAAAGCCAAAAAAAGGTAATCATGGAAAACATAATCTTATGAGTAACCTTTACATGATAGTGCAGAGGAAACATGATGGCCATCAGGCGATCGTAGCAGAGAGCAACCAGATTAAGAGCCTGCATCGAAAGGCAAGTGTAGCAGAAGAAAAGGAACGTCAAGCAGTCGTTGTAGGGGACATAATAATGATTAAACAAAAAGATATCAAGGACCTTTGGTACCAGAGCACAGCTACCTAAGAGGTCCACAAATGCAAGGTTAAAAACGGCAACATACTTTGGAGTTCTGAGATTATGATCCAGACAGATTACAGCCATTACAGCCACGTTTCCCAGCACTGAAACGAAATAGACAAAAAAGAGAAAGACGTAGTAATACTTCATGTTTGGTAAACCAATAAATCCGCTGATGATGAAATAAGGAGGACGTATAAAAGTGATGTTCATTCCTAAAGCAGAGTTGAAAATGTCCATTTTAAAATATGCAGAGTATACTTTTGAGCAAGTTCTGTCAGAGCAGTCAACAGCGCTGCAGACGTCAGCACTGTTACTTGTTCAGATTTGTCTTAGTTCATGGTGTCCTGGCAACTGTCGAGGGTTTTTATTCCTGCTGTTTTGTATGCCCCAATCCCTCTGGTGTATTTGAGCTTCAACAAACACAAGCTTCATCCAAATGAAAAAGTTTGATCTTGTGGAACTTTCCTCCGCAGCTTGTATGTAACTTTCTGGAGCTACATCTGTTTACATAACTTCTACCAGTTTTACTAAGCATCCTGTGTGTGTGTATATATATATATATATATATATATATATATA